CACGGGCTCCATCAGTGCAAGCTTCTCTAGGGTCTACAGAACTTCTACACACATGTTGAGATAACAGGTGCCTTACTAGTAGTAACAAGAAGCTACTAGGAACAAGTGCATCGCTTCTAGTAACAAGTGCCTTACTACTAGTAACAATAATTTAATTAGAATTGTAATTACTACGTCTGGCACGGTTCCCTTTTGATCCGCTCCCGACTCCGTGAGCCGCAGAGGTTTCTCCGCTGCGTCTCGGGTTCGGTTCACGGACGTCGGCTCACCAGGTTGGCTCCTTTTCGAAACGTAGATGATCACGTTTGAGCTTATTAAAGCCGTTTCTTTATTTTCTTTTCTTTTGTAGTCAAGAAATGTCAAGACTCCAAAAGGATTCTATATTATAAGTCTATATATATATATGTCTGAACTTTTGTATTCCTCGAGGTCTTTGGAGGCACCATGCGCTTTTGCTCGTCCTTTGTCGCTCAGCAACGCCTCAGATTTACAACACCAGCGGCAACGTCACCGAAATCATGGTGGAATCCTTGTGCCTTGGATGGCCATGGCAGTGATATCAACTGATGTTCAACATGCTCAAGTACCACCTTCTACTTGATCAAATGCAAGCCGTGCCTTTTTGGACCAAAAGATCTTAGCCCCAGACCACGGTCGAGCCGGTCAGATCTTGATCTTGACTCTCAAACAAAAGGCACTGATAGACACCACCCCCTCAAGAAAGCTCGTGCGGCTCAACACTTTTCTATGATGCAAAGATATCCGGTGACGATCTTGGCATGTCTGCGATGCAAGGCTTTTGAACACCTCTTATCACTTCCTGGTCTCAGGCACGCAATGTCCGAAAACTTAAGAGTTCAACACCACTTGGTTTCTGTTCAACTGTTTGATCGTTTTAGATTCTGACGTCAACTTTCTTCATTCCAGTGTCATACGTCCAGTACTGTGGTGTTTTGTTGTGTGATCCCCCATCCTCCCCATTCAACAAACTTTCCCTAGACTGTCATGGTTTGTCACTCATGCCAGTTTTTCAGCAGAAGCTCCATCTTGACAGCTTCTTGGATTTTGGGTTCATTTGGTAGCCGGACACCCTCACAATTCCCTCACCTGCAGGTGTCAACCTCTTGGGCGCGGGCGAAAGCAAGAGCATCTGGGTCGACCCCTTGACCGTGTGTTGGGTCGGATGCAGTTCTGGAACGTTTGGAGAAGACAGGGTGAAGCGGTGAAGTTACAAGTAACAAGTAACAAGTGCATCGCTAGTAGTAACAAGTGCATCGCTTCTAGTAACAAGTGCCTTACTACTAGTAACAAGAAGCTATTAGAAACAAGTGCCTTACTAGTAGTAACAATAAGCTACAAGTACCTAGACTCTAGGATCTCTCTAGGCGATTCTTCGGGTCTGTTGGGGCAGACAAAAAGGATGCCTGCATCCTGGCGGTCGCTGGCGAATCGACAGGTGCTGACCAGACCCGTGGTGCCTCAGCCCGTGGCTGCCCCGCGGGTCGGGTCACGAACGGCGTCCAAGCTGAACGTGACCTGGACAGCGCCTGAGAATGGAGGCTGGAGATGACGGGGCGATGCAGAGGGTGGGGGGGTCAACAGCGAGCGGTTTGTGTTGATCATCTTTCTGATTTCCAAACTTGTTGTTTCTTGGACGTCCAATCTTGAGGATGGGTGCATGAGAGATTCCTGGACGCGGGTCAGATGCAGGATTCAGATGGATTCAGGCAAAAAGGGGGCTGACGTGTCCTGCAGAGCCCTGCGAGTCGAAGATTTGATTCCTGGCTCGACAGACGTAGGTCCGAAGTCCTAGAGGTGGTGCATATGCCGTATGAGTGAAAACAACTCACCAGGCCTTCGCATTGACTTCTACACAGTGGAGATGTTTGAGAATGGTCTGTTACCTGGCTGGGAGAGGACTTCAATCGCAATCAAGCCAGACTCTTTTCGACTCAACAATCCAACAGGAACCTCAGGGTGGTCATATTTTTTTTGGGAATAACATGTTGTGACAGAGGCAAGTCTCACTCCGACTCCAACGTCCCTTCTGCTTTTGGGCTTTCCAACGTCCAACAGATCGACCAATTCCTTTGCGTCACGTCTATCGCGGGTGATCGTCACAGCGGGCTGAAAAGTACAGAACGGCCCAATGGTTCGCTTGAGACTGCGGTCAGTCATGGGGGACGGGCGACCAAAGATAGACGGATGGCTTACTGTGTGCCGATGACCAGACCTTTCCGAGCGCAAAGGACTTGGACGAAAATGAACCTTGTCCCTTTCTGAGTGTGCCAGGCAAATAGGCATGCTTACAATCTCAGGTGATCTGGTGTGAGAAAAACACTATATTATCAATATATATAGTCTTGTCTAGAGTCTAGAGTCATTTTAAAGTCCAAAGCTGAGCAAGCTTTTAAGATGTCCTGTGAAGCTCTTCTCTTCACAACCTAGCAGCTCAACATGGGCTGTTTGGTGACTTCAGAAGAGCAGATCAGATTCTGAGCCTTGTGTAACACCCAGGAATGCTTTCCCATCCGAGGTGTATAGGGCGGCTTCTGACATTTCCTGGTGCTAGGAAGTTGGAGCAAGCATTGAGGGATGAGCACTCGGATCATATATGTTGGATTTTTTGCAAAGGACACCTGCCATCGAACCCGTCTGAGGTAAGTAGACATAACATAAGTGTCTAAACAGCTGCTTGATTTCTTTTGACATCCAACAGATCTAGAGTTTGGAGGGTGTTTGCCGTCGAGGTCAGATGTTGCAGGAATGGTGTAGGGCTGTTTGATGACCAGAGCTACTTGAGTCTACAGGAGCTGCCAAAACAACTCTTCTATACTGCCCTGCCGCTCACAGTGGGCTGCAGGGTAACTTGAGAAGAGCATATAATCTAATGAACCCTGTGTAACATCCCGCAATGCTTTGCCATGCGGGTTGTATAGGGCGGCTTCTGGCATCACGTAGCAATACGCATATGGAACCGCATTCTTGTTGTCCCAAGATGCTTGAACCTTTCTTATCCAATCCAAGGAGATTGGTGGAAGTTTCTGTTGCAGTTCTTTCAAGATGCATTTGTGAAGACGTGTTGGGAGTCAAGGACAGATCTTCTATATGCTAAGCAGAATCAAGCTCTTCCACACTGCCACGCTACCCACAGAAGGTTGCATGGTAACTTAAGAAGAGAATATCATTGTATGAGCCTTGTGTAACATCCAGGAATGCTTCACCATCCGAGGTGTATAGGGCGGCCTCCTACATTGTCAGACGAAATTCAGCAAGCAAGGACACGCTTCTGAGATCTTGCCTAAAGACAGTTCTAGATCCTGAGAGCTGTCTTGGGCAAAGATGATGCAGGGAGTTCAAGCATATGTGGGGACCAAACTTGTGAGAGGTCTTGTGTAGCTCTTCTCTTCACAACCTAGCAGCTCGACATGGGCTGTTTGGTGACTTCAGAAGAGCAGATCAGATTCTGAGCCTTGTGTAACACCCAGGAATGCTTTCCCATCCGAGGTGTATAGGGCGGCTTCTGACATTTCCTGGTGCTAGGAAGTTGGAGCAAGCATTGAGGGATGAGCACTCGGATCATATATGTTGGATTTGTTGCAAAGGAAACCTGCCATCGAACCCGTCTGAGGTAAGTAGACATAACATAAGTGTCTAAACAGCTGCTTGATGTCTTTTGACATCCAACAGATCTAGAGTTTGGAGGGTGTTTGCCGTCGAGGTCAGATGTTGCAGGAATGGTGTAGGGCTGTTTGATGACCAGAGCTACTTGAGTCTACAGGAGCTGCCAAAACAACTCTTCTATACTGCCCTGCCGCTCACAGTGGGCTGCAGGGTAACTTGAGAAGAGCATATAATCTAATGAATCCTGTGTAACATCCCGCAATGCTTTGCCATGCGGGTTGTATAGGGCGGCTTCTGACATCACATAGCAATACGCATTTGGAACCGCATTCTTGTTGTCCCAAGATGCTTGAACCTTTCCTATCCAATCCAAGGAGATTGGTGGAAGTTTCTGTTGCAGTTCTTTCAAGATGCATTTGTGAAGACGTGTTGGGAGTCAAGGACAGATGTTCGGTATGCTAAGCAGAATCAAGCTCTTCCACACTGCCACGCTACCCACAGAAGGTTGCATGGTAACTTAAGAAGAGAATATCATTTCATGAGCCTTGTGTAACATCCAGGAATGCTTCACCATCCAAGGTGTATAGGGCGGCCTCCTACATTGTCAGACGAATTTCAGCAAGCAAGGACACGCTTCTGAGATCTTGCCTAAAGACAGTTCTAGATCCTCAGAGCTATCTTGGGCAAAGATGATGCAGGGAGTTCAAGCATATGTGGGCAACAAACTTGTGAGAGGTCTTGTGTAGCTCTTCTCTTCACAACCTAGCAGCTCAACATGGGCTGTTTGGTGACTTCAGAAGAGCAGATCAGATTCTGAGCCTTGTGTAACACCCAGGAACGCTTTACCATCCGAGGTGTATAGGGCGGCTTCTGACATTTCCTGGTGCTAGGCAGTTGGAGCGGCAAGTTTGTCGTCCCAAGATGCTCTGAGCATTGCATCATGTCAAATCCAAGACATGTTCTTAAGGGGTTTGGTATTGGAAAGCTCCTGCAATTTGGGCTGGTCCTTGGTTTCAGCAACCTGTCAGCCACCTGATCCTTTTCGATGAGTATGCCTCTTTTTCTACACATCGGAGAATGTCTTCGGCTCATGATGAGTTCAGTTCCTGACCTATGAGGCCTTAGAAGTGGTGTGTGGGGTAAACCGATCATTGACTGCAGTCACAGGACACCCATGATCCCTGACTCCCATAATCCCTGCGTCGTGCTCCTCTGTGCACCTCTCTCTCCGAGGTTCCTAGAGGTGGGCAATGTGACCCAAAATGCTCTGGAACTCGTGGGCCTTCAAGCCAACCAGAGCTACGTGCTGCGGACCTTCGCTTGGAATGCGCTTGGAAGGCATGTTGGGTTGAGGGAAGCTGAGTACAGTATTTAATGGTGCTTACAGTACTCAATTGGGATGTTGCGGATGTCTTAGGACATCTCAACTCTCCTAAGCACGACTCTCGGTGCGTTGATTGCAGGTCTTCCGAAGGTGACATCGCAGTGCTGGAGACGGCTGATCCCAGCGTGCCAGAGCATGTAGAGCATGTGGCCGCTCAGCAAGAGGTCGAAAGAGCAGTGGATGAAGTACTGAGATTGGACTGGAAAAGATGAGAAAAGGATCACCAGGCCGCAGGCCACCAATTTTCCCTTTTTGCTTGGCCTCTGACTGTGGACTTAAACTGGCAGATTTGGAATCGGAGTACCTTCTCTATTTTTGTGTTGCAGCATGTCGCAACATTATTTTGTTAACATCCTTTAGCTTTTTGTCCCATGGACACCGGTTTGGTAGCCCCCGCAACACTTTTGACTCCCACCAGTCCACATGAATACCCTTGACTCCACTCGGCTCGGCCTCGACAGAAAGCTTCTGTCTCGCTCCTCTCCCCTGCACCGGGCGCGGAGTCTTCAGTAAGGCCATTGATGTGGTGAACTGGAGCGCCCATGTCGCTTGGGCGGAGCCGCTGGAGACGGGCGGCCTCGAGCTATTCTACCAGGCTGGAGAGGAAGAGATCGGATCGGCAGCTGGACGTGATGGGTTGGCGACCTGCACGGAAGGGTGTGGCACAGGATTTTGGACCATATCTTGCTACCTTTTGTGGGGTTTTGGAGGAACATGCACCTTAGCAAGAATTTGGATCTCTCGACATGTTGCAAAGTGTTGGGACACGCCATTCTCCTAGATTGGCCATGAAGGGATTGTGGACATTTTCGGGAGGCAATTGGTGAGGAGTCGATTCCCATGACTTTGGATTTGTTGAATTGCTTGGAGTTCTGAACACTATCTCTTGAAGACCTGGCACCTCCAAGAGACCTCGCTCTCTCGTTCATGCGCCACTTTCCCGCCGCAGGTCGCAGCAAGTGCCGAACACCATGAATTGGTAAGCCCAGGGGGTGAGGAGTTGGAGCATGCACCGAAGGAGTGTTTTGGACGGTTGACTGATGCTGAAAGAAGTCGCTGCCGAGATTTTGAAAGACGAACCACACGAGCCTTGTGAGAGGATCGTGGAATGATGCACAAAAGAGCTCAGCGTTCCCGAAGCAAGCATGTAACAAGAAGCTACTAGTAACAAAGGGCATCGCTACTAGTAACAAGGGCATTATTACGAACAAATATATATGGCAATCGAGAAGCGAGCGTTCGATGAAATGTGTTTGAAACTGTAGCGGTGGCTCACAGAAGGCTCGGGGCCAAGGAGTCCTGATGGAGCCACCGAAGGATGACGAGCCCGCAGGGGTAGCTAGGTTGTTGAAGGAAGGGTGGCAACGCTCCACCCTTGCCTTCTTCAACGACATGCCGAAAGATGAGATCGCGGAGCTCCTGCCGGCCATCGTCGATGGATGGACCGACGAGGACTACATGATGTTGAAAAGAGAGGCCAAGCGACAGAAGCGGAGACTTGACTTGGACGACAACCTGTTCCTCCAGCATCAGGCCCTGCTGTTTCGAGATCGGTCTTTCATCGACCGCAAGCTGGAGGACACCCCGCTTGGCCAGGCGCGAATGGGCGCGGAGATTGAGGTCGTGAGGGGCACCCTTCCGCGTGTTGGATGGAGGTCTGGAATGCATAGGAGGCTGACAAGGCGCTGGCTGACCAGAAGCTTCGCCTTACCCAGCCTTGGTAAGCTAAAGAGGGAGGAGACTGGAACGGCGAAGGAGCACAACCCCAAAAAGATGCGGAAGTTGAAACACATGGCAATCGAGAAGCGAGCGTTCGATGAAATGTGTTTGAAACTGTAGCGGTGGCCCACAGAAGCCCACCCAACCCACCCCTAAAACAGGGGGAGGAGACTGGAACCCAAAAAGATGCGGAAGTTGAAACACATATATATATATATAGCTACTAGTAACAAGAAACTTCTAGGTGGAGGCATAGTATGTCTCACATTGACCGCCCCCCACCTACCTCACCTACCTGACCGCCCCAGGTGACCCGCCGGGTGACCCACCTCTCGTCAGGTCTCGGAGACCTCCCATCTCTCGGCGCTGCTTTCCGCGCTGCGCGGCGACCAGGCGGCGACGGGATTTTCGGAAGGCGTTCGGAAGGTCTTGGCGTTCGGAAGATCTTGTGTACTGATTGAGAGACCTGACTAAGCTTCTCTCTTGGTGTCACTGAGACGGAACGCGCCGCCATTTCAAGGACTTATATAATGACTTAATCATCGCAATTCAGCCCAGTCTCTCTACATGTTTGGTTGCAGAAGAGTGTCTGATCAGACGATCCCTGAAAGATAACGTCACATATTTTGCATATCTAGGCTAGGAATGGCTAGGATATGTGGATCTTTTTGGCCACAATTTCTCAAATCTGGCAGAGTACCCTCTAATAGCGAAACATTTTTTCGTCATTAAAAGGTGTCCTCCAAATCAGGAGATTGGGAACGTGGGAATTGTTGCTACTCTGTTTAATTTTGCTACTCTGCGTGGCATGTCATTGCTGTGCGTCAAATGTTGTACAATGTCAGGTGAAGACTGGACACAACTCCCTTATCATTTGACTGTTGCATGTTTGTATAGAACAATCTGAGATGTCATATATTTGTGTTGAAAGGCTGAGAAAAGATGGCCAGAATCTGCGGAACTATTTTGGGCATTCAGACTCTTTGCGGAACCTGCCGGGATTGGCCGGTACTGCCGGGTACAGTCCAATTGAAGAAGAGCAGTTCATGGGAACGATACGCTTGATCCGCAGTCCATTCTTCACTGTAACATCCTATAACGCAGATATTCGAACAGGACGGCAGTTCCACTCCAAATGCCGAAAGGTGGCCCCCTCCATCCTTGTTTAAGGTGGTGCAGGGTGCCTTGTTCATCCGTTGGAGTAGAACGACGAACGACTCTTTACCTCCAGCCCAGCACACCGGGCTTGGGTTGTGTGGAGAGTATGTGGATCCCCTTTGCTACAGGAACAGGAACCTGGCCTTCAAGTTGTCTTATAATACATTTTCCATCCCTTCCATCAACTTCCATCCCTTCCATCCGTGCCATCCGTGCCTGGCTTCCTTGCTTCCTTGCTTTCTTGCTTCCCTTTCCTTGTCCTTTTCCTTCTCCTTCTCCTTCTCCGTCTCCCTCTCCCTCTCCTTCTCCTCCTCCTTTTCCTTCGTTCCTTCGTTCCTTCGTTCCTTTCTTCCTCCCTTCCCTTCCCTTCCTGCCTTCCTGCCTTCCTGCCTGCCCACAGCCAGGCTTGGGTACTGATCCACAGAACATCTAGCCTTGACCAGCATCGGCTCTCATTTGTTTTGTGTTGTGCCTCAAGTGGCCGAAGAATGACGAAGAGCATTGCGCCTTCCACCACATTCGTGTCCATCTTCTGGGTTTTTGACCTACCTGCAACAGCCTGAGCTGTGCCGCCACCGTTCGGCCTGGAGGTTTACAACTTCACCATTTCGGCCTGCAACAGCGTGGGCTGCACGTCGTCGCTGGAGAAGACCTGGAGCATGGCGGCCTCGGCTCCGCCTCAGGTGGAGGCCCTTCGTGTCCAGGCAAGACTGAGCACAGGGAGGGAAAGGGAAGACTAAGGGACAGGGAAAAAGTGTTTTTATTTTTTTCCGTTTGATTTGAGGGACTTGTTGCACTGCGACAACAAATCATCATGCTTATTGTAAGGGCTCCGCCCTGGTGCCGCCGACCCCTTTTTTGTGAGACAAGGCAGCATGGCGAGGAAGGCAACAACCGAAGTTGGACATAGTGCTCCCCAGCTACTCTGCGTACTAAAGTTGTATTGCTAAGTCGCCACT